AGAGATGCCTGGTTACATAATCAGCCTCAGCTTGCAGACTGCACCCTGGTCCCTTGTTGATGCTGTGCACTCCACCAGGCATGGAATATATCTACTTGGCGAGCCGTGACTGAATTTTTTGAGCCGTGGTTTTATGGATTTGCCAGCCGTGATTCCATTTCACCAAGCCGTGAATTCCATATCGCTGCCAAGAAAAGCCATTTACAAGGCATGAATTTATTTACAAATTCCATTTCCAAAAATAAAAACTATGATTTAGGACTTTTAGGTTTCATTAAATTAATTTTTGATAAATTTCAGGCATAAATTTTTCATCCTCACCTGCTCTGTGCCACAAATGATTTGAGTGACGTTTGAAATAGTTTGTGTGCACATTCCACGTGAAACTATCATCTCGCCCAATACTTAACTTCACTTTCTCTGAAGAATTTGTGCCAGTTCGTTGCCTGACCTCACAGCAGCAACTCCCAAGGTGCTTTCGTGCCAGATTCATTTTGAACTTGCCTGTCTACACTTCAAGTCTGATGGTGTGGACTAACCTTTTGAAGAATCTTTGGCCCTGGTTAACCTTTGAAACTATGGAGTAAAGCCACCCAGATGACACCCATGGAGTGGATGTCATCTGCGCTACAACTTACCTCGGTGGTACACCTGACACTTTGGATGTGACCACTACCTCGGCCCTGGCTACTTACCGCTGTGCGGGCACGGACCAGCTCCAAGAACCAGCACTTCACCAGCATCAGCAATTCACCGAAGGATTTTTTAGCACTTCAGGTACATCACCCTATCTTCGTAGGCACAGAGCAAGCGGTGATGAGGCGTTAAATCCTGTTCCTTTTCACTTGGAACCCGGATAAATAATAAAGCCTGTAATTATCCATACTTTAATATTTATTGTAAATTTTACGACTTCATTCCTGATTATCCAATAATTAAGATTGCATTTTACTTGGAACGTGTGGCAACAAGTTGCACCAGCTCGACATACTTTTGCTACGATTGCAAACTTTTGTCTTTAACGACCTTTTATTGCATCAAGTGTTTTTTTGTTTACTTTCAGAGCTGAACTTTGTGCCTTGTCTGATCACCATTTCCTTTACTTCAGAAATTTCGGGTTGGGCAGACACGGGAGCGAGTTGCGGCTCCTTTGCCTCTTCACGCTTATTGAAGAGGAGCCGCTACCGAAATTTGGCAGCACCAAACTATCACGTGGAATTGATGGCTATTTATACCATCTTGAAACTTTTTAAATAAAGAAAAGATTTCTTTAGCCTCCAGTCCATTCTTGTTTTGCTTGCCTATATCTTCATTTATCAGCTCGTTCCTCAAAGTTTTGTCCATGTTTTACCCCAAATCTCTAATTTTACCCTAAAACAGTCAAACGGCAACAATAAAATTTGTCTTTGCTGTAAGTTGAGCACATGTTAATGCAGTCTGACTGCTTTGACATGACCGCAACTATGCGCGATCTTCAACAAAATGTTTAGTTGATTTGTTTACATTACGATGTTTATGTTTTTTCTGCAGGATATTTTGGCGGGAACAATAAAGCAATGCGGATTGTGCAAGTTGAAAATTTTATGAAATGACATGTTTGCGAAGTGCAAACTGCGATTTTTCAATCAAACAAAAATTTATGACATTCGAGCTGCGAGATTTCATACCTACTGAAATTATATGATATTAGAGCCGCGATATTTCAGACAAAAATAGGACTTTTCCAGCTGCACTCCACTAAAGCAATTGAAGACAAATATCTTTGTATAAATATGGCAGTTCTACATGATTTACAGTGATATGTTGTCAAAGTGTGACGTTCAGACTTCAAAGCATCACGGAGGTTGTGGGTTAGGTCATCCCTACAACTAGGTAGCCAATCACCCAATGTTCTCACAAAGAGACCCAGCAGGCATCTGACATTGAAACAACATTGATTATTGGTTGATTTCAGGTTGAAATGTTGAACAACAAAAAATTAAACTTCATATCAACGTTGAAATCTGACCAACACTAGAAGGGACGTAAAACAACCTTATTCCAATGTTGAAATAACGTCGATATTGGTACGTTGAATTTTTACTAATTTTTTAACGTTGAATCAATGTTGATATCAGGTTGAGATGCTGAACAACCCAAATTATACGTCATGCAATCAACGTCGAAATCTGACCAAAACTAGAACGGATGTAAAACAATCTTATTTCAATGTAGAAATAACATCGATATTGGTACGTTGAATGTTTACTAATTGTTAAACGTTGAATCAATGTTGGTTTCAGGTTGGAGTGCTGAACAACCAAAATTAAACGTCATATCAACGTCAAAATCTGACCAACACTTGAAGGGACGTAAAACAACCTTATTCCAACGTTGAAATAATGTCGATATTGGTATGTTGAATTTTTACTAATTTTTAAACGTTGAATCAATGTTTATTTCAGGTTGAAATGCTAAACAACTAAAGTTAAACGTCTGATCAACGTCGAAATATGACCAAACTAGAACGGACGTAAAACAACCTTATTTCAACATTGAAACAACGTCGATATCGATACGTTGAATTCTTACTAGTTTTTAAACGTTGAATCAATGTTGATTTCAGGTTGAAATGCTAAACAACCAAAATTAAATGTCTGATCAACGTCAAAATCTAATCAAAACTGGAACTGATGTAAAATAACTTTATTTTAACGTTGAAAGAACGACTTAGAACGTCGATATTGGTACATTGAATATTTATTTATTTTTAAACGTTGAATCAATGTTGATATCAGGTTGAAGTGCTGAACCACAAAATTAAACATCTGATCAATGTCGAAATCTGACCAAAACTAGAGTAGAAGCAAAACAACCTTATTTCAACGTTGAAATAATGTCGATATTGGTACGTTGAATGTTTATTTATTTTTAAACGTTCAATCAATGTTGATTTTAGGTTGAAATGCTGAACAACCAAAATTAAACGTCCGATCAACTACCATATTTCAACGTTGAAAAATGGTCGATATCGGTACGTTGCATGTTTAGCTATTTACCAGCATGGAACTAATGTTATCACACCAACATTGAATGAAATACATATATAAGTTTACGATTAATGACCAGAGAATGCAGTTCAATTTTCAAGGAGTGGAACAATCCTTTAGCTTATTTCTATTGCTCATGCACGCGAGCTGCCGTGGTCAAGGTTGCAAAGGCGTCGCGCGGTCTCCAGCGATCCCGGGTTCGAATCCTGCCACGAACGAAAAACAGGTTGGTTCTTCAACGTTGATTCAATCAGAGAATTAGACGTTGCAGCAATGTCGTAGTGTTAACATTGATTCAACGTTGCATTGTAACGTCAGTACAACGTTTCATGAGAGACATTGCTTCAATTTTCATTCTAAACCTATTTTCACCCCGATCTCAATGTCGACATGCGTAGTTGTTTCAACGTCGATTCAACCATAGAATTCAACGTTGCAGCAACGTCGTAGTAGCAACGTCGTAGTAGCAACATCGATTCAACGTTGCATTGTAAAGTCAGTACGATGTTGCATGAAAGATGTTGCTTCAATTTTCATTCTAAACCTCCTCTCACCCCGATATCAATGTCGTAATGCGTAGTTGATTCAACGTTGATTCAACCACCGAATGCCTGCTGGGGAGGCACTTGTCTTGTCCTAAACCTCTTCTGTCAGCAATTGGTGGCAATAAAGTGGCATCTCTACCAGTAGCCAGCCAGGCCAGTAGAACTTCAATCATACTAATTTGTAAATAGTGGTATTTCTAGCCTCTAGGTTTAATAGTTTTGTCATTTTGTTTTCATTGTATTGTATTGTTGATTTCTCATTCTTTGTGATATTTGTGTTGTCGGTTGCATTTTCTTTCTTGTTGAAGAAAAACTAGGGAGAAATGTTGATATCTGATTGGTTTGCTGGTGTTGCCAAGTGGTTGTGAACTTGTGATGTCACACTTGTTGGGTCGTGAGTGTGAGATGGCTTTGTGCTGCGCTCCTGCTCTGTTGGTTTAGCCCAGGAAGCATCTGCACCAGTGGCCTATGTGGCATGGGTTTGCTGTAACGTGATGCAAGTTGGCGCCGCACTTGGCGGCAATGCTATTGGGGACAGGAGTCAGGAGTGTAGCGTGAATCATGAATCATGATAGGTTGAGCATCATCCAAGCATGAGCTATTAACACATGTTGCAGCATTGTGGCTCAAACCATTGTATCATGTATGCGTAAGACTTAGACCTTTAAATTGATGCCATTTATTGGCACTTTGGCAGCTGAGGCAGGCCTGCATGGCGGGATAATTGTCTGCTTGAAATTAGCAAGAATGATTAGTTGATTGTGTAGTCAGCTTGAAAGCATCCCCATCAACCAATCACAGCTTGAAAGCATCCCCATCAACCAATAACAGCTTGAAAGCATCCCCATCAACCAATCACAGCTAGAAAGCAGATATCATTACAATTCCATTATCCAGCCACAGCTGGAAAGTTGAAAGGGGCTAAAATCACAATCCTATCAACCAATCACAGCAGGAATTCTGAAAAGGATAGGATATGTAAATAATGGACTGAAAGTGTAAAGTTCCTGGCCTTTCCAATTTTTCAGGTCCTGCTTTCCAATATGCTATGTGTACTGGTTAATTTATTATCCCTCTAGAATTCCACACTGCACAGACATGCCAATAACACATCACATGTACCAGATTTGAATCATTAAACTCAAAACAAAACCAAAAAAGTCAAAATATTTTATTTTTCACCAAGCCAGTCCCTTTAAGTTACTGAACAACTGAAAAAAAACCTACCGAATAACGACTGGATGAATCTACCAACTAATGACTGTCAACTGGCATGTAGATGCTCAATGACCACATGACCCTTGAGATAACATTACAATGACTCTTGTGCCACACTACAAAACCAGGATTTATAATAAGAAAATATCTTGTGTTTTTATAAATCATCCATGGTACTTCATTGTGCTGTTTCTACTAATCATAATGAACTTTACTGCAGGCACTCTTGCCAGCTACAGGAATAAATAATGGCAGATATCTTAGTAAAAAAGTTGACTGCTGATGACTTTGATGCAGAAAAATGTAAGTCAAGTTTTATTTTATTATAGTGTACATAACATGACCCCCAGTGATGTCATTACAAAAAACTTGACCAGTGATTGTCCATCTATAGTATCTGTGTAATGATATATAAATTCAAAGGATGCCTGAATCTAAAGTTTCCTGTAATATAGGTAGCTAATTAGCAAACTTGTGGCTAGTATTAAACTGGAATCAACCCAAAGCAGATATTCTAGCTTGATAGGTTATAGTATAATCTGCATTTATTTCAGATGTGCAGAGCCTTAGCCACAGCAGTGTGGGAGGTCTGGAACTGCAGCAACAACGTCAGCGCGTACTACAACTATCCAAAGAAACGAGTGCATTGCTAAAGAAGAATGTCTACAACAACTATATGCAATTCATTGAAACAGCCAAAGAAATTTCTCGTGAGTATTAAGGTTTAGCCAACAGATATTTTCCTGGTGGATTTTCATTTAGTTTCATTAACCACAAAGGTTAAGAAAAGCTAATTTCAAACATGAAATTTTACCAGTCCCCAAGCCTGGCTCATAGATGTGATCTGTCAGAGCATGCGGGATTTTCTGTATACCCGTGGAATTTATTTAATATCATTTAATTAGAAGTGAATTTTTACAATTTATTTCAAAGCTAAGATTACCATAAAAAAGGGTAGGTAACTTAGACCATTGACAGGGGGGGAACTTAGACTGTTTCGACATTTAAGAGAAAAGTAAACCATATACTCAGAAAGTTCTTGCCTTAGAAAAATTGTGTTGATGGCTCATAAAGTACCATGAGATAATCCACAAATGCAATAAAGAGATGTACAGGGTTATTCTAAATGATGGACCCAATTCAATAAATTTGTATATATATGAGTATAAATCCTAAATGAATAATTTATTCACCAATTAAAAGAGAAAAAATTCATTTTGTATATATACCATATACCTTTATGAATGTTCAATATGTCCCCCTTGTGCTGCACTGCTAACATCTAAAGGGTAGCCAAACTCGTCCCATACACAAGAAAGCACATCTTCTGTTACTGAGTGCACTGCAGTGTAAAACAGTTATTCAGATCAATCAGTTGCTGGTAGAGGCAGGATGTAAACAGAGTTGCTGGTAGAGGCGGGATATAAACAGCTTCCTCGACATAACCTCATAAGAAATAGCTACGTACATGAGGTGAGATCAGGTGATCTTGGTGGCCAGAAGCATAGAGCTAGATCTGCATTTCCTATGCGTCCTATCCAGTGCTTGAGAAATGACCAATTCATAAAGTTTCAGAGCAAATCAAAAAGTTACTGCCGCTCATTTCCTCATTCAAGTAGGTTAAAAAATTTGAATCTTTCTCTTTCCATTGGTGTAAAAAATTTCATTTTGAACTTATAGTACCTAAGTAAATACAAATTTATTAAATTGGGTCCATCATTTAATATAACCCTATATTTTATATACTTGCTATGTGAATATTTGTTTCACAAAAAGTGTGCATTAAAAATGATCTAAATCACCCTGTTTTGTGATATATTGATTTTATTCAGCAACAATACTTTGATTCAACATTCAGGTGATGCTTTCAAAAGTTGCTTGTTCTATTCTTCAGAATTGGAGAGCGAGATGTATCAGCTGTCACATCTCATCACAGACCAGAAGTCAATATTGTCCATGATGCTTGAAGTAACCATCTCAGGTGGGTGTTGTTGATCCTCCATGCAACCATCAAACAAAATTGCTTCATACAAGTTTCATTTTATTCTTGTGCATTGTAGAACGCTTTGTGTTTAGTTATCATTTTACAAGCTTGACATTTTGGAGGCAATATATTTAGTTGTATAATTTAGTATTTGAAATGGAGGTAGGTATATAATTTTTCTTTTGAATAATTCAAATAATCTATGAAATTAATATGAGTCATTCAAAGTAGGACTTAAAATCTTTGAATCTATATCACGGAATATAGGAGGGAGAAAGAAACAGGGTGAATGAGATGGGGGATGTACCGGTACCATCAAACAGTAGGTATAATAATTAAGGGATGGTTTGAATGTTTTTTGTTAATAACTTCTTTCCATGAAATATTTCATAAACAAATTTGGGCTCATTTTAAAGGCCTTTGCAAGGGCTATCATATGGCATCTCTGAAAAAATTCCATATGCTACCGTATTCGTAAGATGTCAGACGCAAAATAAAGCATGACGAATTACCCCTGGAAATGTGGTAATCCAGGACACTTGAAATAAAACTTAATTTTAAAACGTTTGAAGCATGCAGAGTGTACTCGTCCATTACTAACAGTAATCTGAAGTCCTCCTCTTCCTTTGTAGATGAGGTAGATGTAGAATAAATGACATATTCTGTGATTTTTACTTGTTTTTCCTTTATTGATATGATATTACCATTTCCATACATTACTGTACCTATTATTGATGTGATATTACTGTATCCATGGACATGCCATTGAGCATTGACAACGACCTTGTCCCTTGCAGCTCCATATCTGCAGCCATGTAGCATTTCTTCTGTATCTGCAAGCTTACAGGACTGCAAGTAATTTCGTACCATTTTTATTGGATCAAGTGAATCCACTACAACAAAAAAATATAACTCGGTACTCACTGCAGTGAGTGACAGAGCTCATTCTCTTCACTGACAGACAGACAGACGGACTGACAGACAAACATTGCGAGCAGAATAGTGCATTTTTTCCATAAATGAGGAAATGTGCTAAAAAGATCGTATTCTATTCTATAACAGAAAGGAATATTCTTGTGACAACTATCATATTTTTTGGAGAAATTATTCATAGTTTAGGTTAATTACTTTTCATTCTACTTTGCCCGGTGCACAATCTTATGTATGACATTCTATGAACAATTTGGTGATGCATTAATTTTTCGTTAAGTGAATTTTTTTCCTGAGCGAGGTAAATGTAATCAAAATTCCTAATGCTAATTAATTTTTGGTTAACTGAAGCCTTTGCTAACCAAGGTTCTACTGTAAATGCGTTTTTAGGGATGTCCCTTATTGCCCCGTCGTGCGGAAGTGGCCGCCAGTGGCCGGCATTTTCTTGGAATAAGTTACGCAAATTTCGTCAATCACGTTTTCAAGCCCACACCTGTGTGCTACTTTTATGTAATTAAAATTTTTTAATACGGCGAAAATTTTTTTGCTACAAGCCTTAGCAGGGGTACTACTTTAGCTGCTGCAACATTTCTACGAAAATGTCGGAGAGCTGTCCCGATTTACCCCGCCCGTCTCTTATTACCGCGTTTGGCGGTACATCGTACGGGTTGAAGATGAGGCCTCGATGGCCATACAGCTTTCTGCAGATTGCCAGTCACGCGTAAGGCCCCCCCTCATAGAATGCATTAAGAATATTATGGCTGACTGAAATATTTTGGCAATTTCGCGACTTCCGGGGTGGTCTGGCTTCAGTATATGCGGCTAAGGTGAATGGATTTGAGTATGCTGATAGCTTCGTCTCATGGAAGCAGGCAACAGAAATTTCATAGATGTTAAAAGAAGGCGGAGAGTTATACTGCGCTGGACTGGGACTGAATACCATTGTAGTTGAAGTAGAGGACACGGAGGGAAGATGTAGTGCAACAAGAACAGGACAAAGAGACCACATAGGGGCTAAGAGAGCTTGACTGCAAGCGAGGCAAAATGCAGTGGGCGGTAGGTCTGAACTTCTCTAGTGGTTTCAAGCGAGTACAAACCTATCAAGTTTACGGGCCTTGGCTTGAATGAAGCCCCCTGGCAGAAGGACTAAGAGAAGTAATAAATGCTAGAAGGATTAGGCAAAGCTGACCCTTTGAGGAGGTGCCAAGGTTCCTCAGCCTGCGGTCAAAAGCGGACATGTCCTCCAGTGCTTAGAGTGCTGGTTCAGGGCCTCTGCCGTTGAGCCCAACTCGCGACGGCCGCCAAAATTCGAAATTCCTGCCAGCAGCGCAGGCCACGGGATCTCTTTACGGCGACGACGTGGGTCAGATCGGAGACTAACCATGAGCAAAAATCCAAGTGGCCGGAGTATCTAAATATACCGAGTTGAACTTCCGCAGTTGGATGATCAATTTGAATTTGAGTTCAAATTAAACCATTTTTTTTTGTCCAGGGGACAAGGGTCCTGGCAGCGGGCTGAGTGGTGTGCAGGAAGCTGTACAGGAATTCGAGGATCCACAGGAGGCTAGACTTCGACAACAAAGGGAGAACAGGAAGAAGCTATCTGCTCTCCTCGAGAACATTGAAGGATGCTCGGTGGGTGATTTTGATCTACTTCTGACATGATTACTACTGTTAAGATTTATTATCTAACTTCATCATTGTTGATACGCTTATCGTTGGTCTCGTGTTAGAAGGCTAAATCGACGCTCATCCGCTCGATCGTAATTATTATTTCCTTATCATTGCCTCTGTGCTGACCACGTGTTTAAATCGTGTTGACGGTGTTACTACCCTCGGATAATCTGAGTTTTTGCGAATGTGTTTTCATTTTGTTTTGTTCGATTAATGAAGTCAAAACTATTTGAAAATTCAGTTTTTTTCATTTATATCAGTTTTTTTTTTGTTTTCCAAACTGATAAATCGTGTCGTTTGGCCCCATATACGATATTGAATTTATGGAAGTGAATGTCTCATTTCTTAAATTAGTTATGGAGAGACATGTTAATAAATAAGAAGGTTCAAATTGATCAAAACGTTCGTTGAAATGTTAGAAGGTTGAGTGTTGTTGCAGCACGTGCTGGAGGAGCCAGAGCGCTGGCTGGTCTATGAAGGAGACCTGGTGGAGCTGTCTCAGGACGACTACTCGGGACAGCAACGCGTGCGCGCTTGTCTTCTCAACGACTCCTTCATGCTGGCCACGTGGCTTGCTGACAGGTCTTGTCCTTGTGTCCTTGCCGGCCTTGACAACGGAATAATTGCTGGCCAAACGATTTTTTATTCCTTACTTGACCGTCTCTGTTTGCTGGTCTAGAACCAGAAGGGTTAGAGAAACATTTTAATTCCAGCAGCTTCACTCACTTATTTTGCTCTCCTACATTTTTGTAGTGATTTACAAATTGTATAGTATTATCTAATTTCGAAACGTTTCTTCTAAAACGAATCTTTTAAACTTCATTGTTAATCGTAGTTATATTTTCTTGACATGCTAATTCAATACATTTTTCCAAAGGCAGTATTATCGCTTTCTTTATGCTTATATAATAATGATCGGTGCTAAATATATCTAGTAAATATATATATAGGATATCTCAGCGTACGACTCATGATCGATAATAGAATATTCATAATTAAAATATTGTTATCAATTACTGGTTGACTCAGACGTGGGCCGGTGCGCTACCGCTTTGAGACGCTGCACCTGCTTGACGCTCTCGTGCCGGTAAACGTGAAGGACCGCGGCCAGGCGACCAACGCCTTCAAGCTCCTCATATTCCCTGACGCGCGGGCGTTCCAGGCGCCGTCCCCCAAAATAAAGAGCGAATGGCTGGAACATCTCGAGAGGACCAAGAAGGATCGAGTGGCTGCTCAACAAAAGCAACCAACGGCTGAACACCGAGCTCCTGTTGCCAACCCTGATTCAGAGAACCCCTTCCTCAAGCAGCAAGACTCCGTGGGGTCGCGGGACAGTCAAGACGACGACGAAACTAACCCCTTCTCGTGGTGGAGCTCCAGTTCAGCGCCGCCTCAGTCTCAGGTGAGGTATACTGTTCATCATTCTTTTATTTCCTTAACTGTGATACGGTACTCTTAACGAGAAATATTTTTTGGTGTTTATCAAGCATTGGTATGGAAATGAATTATATCCGAGATATATTTTCATGTGTTAATGATGAGTAATGAAGAGCAGATAAATTTTTAGCCTCAAGTTAGATGTTGAATTCATTTTTTCCTGCCCACGTTGTGCGATCTCACGAGAATCAAGAAACAATTGTCAGTTACGTTCTATTTGTGTGTGTCTTCAGGTCCCACAAACGCCTGAGTGGATGCAGGAGCTTCCTGAGGACTTAGACCAAGCAATTGCCCAAAGAAATTTCGAAGACGCGCTCACACTCATCCAGCGAGCCCGAGAATACTTCACCCAGGCCCCAAAGACTCTCGTCAACGCTGAGATGAAACGCGGCGTCGAGACCCGCGTCAAAACGCTCGTATCTGTGGTACGAGCCGAGCTCGCCGCATCAGGGGAGAGAAGTCTTAATGCCGGCCCCAAGGCTGCTAGACGGGCTGTTAACATCCTCCTGCAATTAAATAAACAGCAAATGGCATGCGAGTTGTTCCTCAAGTACAGAACGGCGATACTGAAGTCAGCCTTGCAACGTTTGCGGCTTGAAGGCGATACCGAGGTCTACATAAGACACTTATGTGCGGTATACTTCCGCAACCTTAACGATACCCTCAACGAGTTCAACAAAGTGTTTGCTTCCTGTAAGAGTTGTTTGCCAGCACTCGTTGTTTGGGCAGGAGATTCCATGAATAGTTTTGCGAGCAAGTTTTGCCAACACGTCTTCAGCACGCAGTCTTCACTCACCACCGTGTCGGAATGCGTCAGTCTAGCAGATCATTACTGCAAGCAGGCGAGTCCGTGTCTTCATCCTTGGCTTAATTCATGTTTAGGAACTTTACGGATATGAGACACCAATTCGCTCATATTTCTTGACAGCTTTTCCAATATTATACGAAAGTAATACCTATATGAAAGATTGGATTAAATTGCGAGTCTAGAATATTTTATTCCTACTTGATTTCTGTCCTGATTGAGTTTTGTTACTTCCTTCGTAACAGTTTATCTTCCATTGTAATAACCTGCTCTATTTGTCTGTGAAGGCGAGCAAGACAGGCCTAGACCTCCGGTTCGCCTTGCATGCGTCCATGTCCCGCGACCTGGAACGCCGTGTAGCGTCTGCACGCGACCAGATGCTCGACGCCATCAAACTACGCGCGCAGGACGAGAGCTGGCAACCCACCAAGTTTACTGACGAGCGCCAACTTCAAACCTTCATGGAGGAAATGAACGACATCGGAGTCGCCGGCCTCAACGAGTACCTCACGGGTATACGTCAGATTCCTATACTAGTATATGCAATTTCGGGCAGCGCATACTTATTGTCTTAAATATTATTAAAATTAAATAATATTAAATATCGCGATGGCATATTTTGTTGAAAACCTTTTTCGGAAAAGCATATTTAGGCTGATAAGTTGTATCCACATTATCTTGTTCAGTGGCTTGCTTCATCGAAAGATATAATTGCATTCAATCACCTTGAAAATATTCTTTTCAGCGATTCCGAAGTTCTGCTTTCCTCATTTTTTTATACATTCTAGACAACTTATGTGCGCTGAATGCCTAAATATTTGTATTTAATTTTCTGCCTTATTATAAGTACCAGGTACGTGTGCAAGTGTTCATTCTTGTGTTATATTTCATCATGTATGGACAGGCATCATCCTAAACAATATGGAACTGCTCGTTGCAGATGCGTTGGTGCTGGGGCTGACGAGCAGTGTGCTGGAGTTGGTGCGCGTGATGGTTGCTTTTGTTGAGGATGTGTTGCGGCTGCTGGTGGTGTGGCCTGACGCGCAGCAGCTGCTCGCTGACTCCCTCACTGCTGTACTCGAGGCTCAGCTACACCAATGCAAGGCGGCCGTACAACATCCCATGCTTAAAGATAAGGTCTCTTCTTGCTTGTGCGATGCTCAAAGATAAGGTCTCTTCTTGCTGGGCAGTGCTCAAAGATAAGGTCTCTTCTTGCTTGTGCAGTGCTCAAAGATAAGATATCTTCTTGCTTGTGCAGTGCTCAAAGATAAGATATCTTCTTGCTTGTGCTCATTTGAGAAATATTATGGAAAGAATGTAGAACAGTTATGGCTCCTAATGACTAGGTATTCAAAACGGCATTTACTGTGTCGTTTTAATTTCTATTTGTTGGCGTAATCCCGCAATTTAACTATATATATATATATTTTTTTTCATTTGATTAATAGATCATTAATACTTCATAGAAAGATTGAGTGGCTTTAATAAATTAATTTCTCACGAATTTCCGTTGATATCACCGCTCGTGCAGCACCTTCCAAACGTCCGTTTGCTGTGCAGACAAGCATCGTGTGCCTGAACAGCCTGTTTGTTGTCGACGTGTTGCTGCCGCTGACGGAGCAGCGCTACACGGAGGTCACGGGCTTCGCTCATCCAACGTTACGCACGCTAGCGCGCTACAGGCAACTCTTTGCCACCAGCGCCGACTCCCATACCTCAGGCTTTGTGTAAGCCAAGTTTCGACGGTCTTGTCGTCTGATACGGAGTGGTAACTTCCAAATTTTATGTTTCCACCGCTCGTCCGAATAATACGAGATTTATTACATGTCTATTTTTTTTTGCTAGCAAGCTTGTCATTTTTCGACAATGATGCCAAAGATCATCAGATGATGGATTATTGTTATGAATATTTAGTTTTAACACTCATTGAACTGTTAATATCCTTTAGAAAATCAGGGGTTATATGTTGTTTTTTGGCATGATATTTGTTTTCATTTGAAGAACCGCAGCGAATGCCCATATCCATTGGCTAAACGGCATATAAAAGAATTTAAGAATTAAATCAAAATCTTATGATGGGCTTCGATATGTATTCAATCCGTCGCAATAATCCAAGGGCATCATTTAGCTCAAACGACAGAACCTCTGTCGTATTCTGTTCCGCATGTAGTTTTACTCGGGCATGAATTTCTCACGATGCCCAGGTTTACTAACAAATTAGTTGAAGCAACTGAAATGGTAAAATGGTCGTCCACTTGCAGCAACCATTATCGACTCAGTAGTTCAACGCGTGAAAAGGTCTATTGCCATTGCCTGATATTACTCTCATTCAAGGTTTAATATTGACATCCCAGGATAGGTATTTATTATAAGTCATATAAAAATAAGCAATATATTGGCGTAAATACAAAGGAAGATTATCTTCGACCAGTGTGATCCCTCTCTGAGTACAGAGTTCATGGTGAAGCTCTCGTGCCAATATTATACTGGCCAAAGATAAACCAGGACATAAAAGTAGAGACGGCTTGGCCACACATGGAAACGTTCGTAAGAATTAGCTACAATTTACTCAATATCACCATAACTTTGGGCGAATAACAAGTAAATAACAGACTACCAATCTCTCAAAGTTGTACTTTACATTCAGAGTCATGTTTTACATCGCTAATCAGGTTGACTCTTATACAAAAAGATCCGTCAATTGCATCGCGAGGTTACAATAGAGCAGCAGTAATTAAATTTAAAGTAAAAATGGACGTGAACGGGCTTTTGCCGTTCTGTATTAATTTCACGCTTTGTATTTATTTGTGTGTAGATATTGATACCAAATTATAATCTATTGATAATCTGTAATCTTTAGACAAATTTATTATTTACATGGTTACTCTATTGGATAAATGTTTCCCAATCCTAACGTAAATAAACTTTATCTTTCAACTTTCGTATCACATTCGAAAGTGTCTTCACGATATTCCTTAGTCCTGAAAACTAATAACATTTGCTACGCTTTATTCAGTTTGTAAGTAAAAAAACGTAACAAGACGGAAGTATAAGATGACGCAAGATTAGTCTACCCACAAACTAGTATTACTGGTTCTTAATCATAATACCATCAACTCTGAACTACACAACACAATACCTCCCATACCCAATTAGATTCGTAGCCAGATTATATTGCACTTTGCAGGTACCGCTTACATAATAATAGTTGGAAGCGAAATAACCCTGGAGTGTTTTTTTTTTTTTTCAAGATGAGCACCAAAATAGATAACCGGGCACCCAAATAGATAGTAGACCAGGCCGGACTTGACGCTGAATTTGAGTTACATCGCTACCTAGATAATGCCGATAATTATTTCTAACGCCGAGCATGTTGGAAGCAATTTGTATTATTTTTTTCGTAGAAGATTTGATGACTTTTTGCTGTAATTAAAATTTGAAACCTATTCCTAATCTTATTTAATCAGTTTATTTAGAAGTTCATTACTTTCAATCTGAGTCTGGAATAACATCTAATGTTCGAATAACACTTTAAAATCCGTTACTAAACGTAAGGTGGAGTAGCGTAAAGAATGCCCCCAGATATGCCCTTACACATCCGGCCCCCGGCCCCCGTACCCTCTATGTCTGCTAAAGAGACTAAGCACTCCAGCAATGACCGTACACGTCCTGCCAGTATGCGACGTACTGCACTAATGACTGGCAGAGCCGGCCTGTGAAGGGCACCGTACTGCCCACAGAATTAAGGAAAGTTTCTAGTCTGCGACGCGTGATTTGTTGATAAGCAGGAGAGCGTAGCAGGTATAGCAGCACGTTGCGATAGCGGCGCAGCACTTCAGCCCGTTGCTGCGGAGTCAGAAGAGCGCTTCTCCGGTGCAGCTCCAAACTGAAGTGGGAAAAACACGCATCGGTATTCATGATAATTAGAGATGTGTATGGTTTGAACGATTAATTTCAACAGAGTTTTTTCAATGTGACGGAGTTGTTTCAGACAAGAAATGTACGAACCTCGAGATGTCCATGCTCAAAGCCACAAGGTAAGGCTTCCACGACCGCCGCCCGAAGAAGTACGAGCAGCTAAGATGGCTCAAGGGCCTCAGGACGTACAGCATCTGACAAAAAATTTATGCTTCTTGTGAAGTTGTGATTAACGTTTTTCTAGACACTTCTAATCTTGGGTGATTTTGCAAGTCACCCAATAAATAAAGCAAATCAAAGCACATTGATTCAGTTTAATTATTGTCTAATACAATAACTTGAGACAAAATAATAGGCTGAATTCTTTGGACGAAGAGATAACAGAAGAGAAAATATCGGGCCTATTCACGCTAGGTTCGAAATGATGGGACCGATATCAACGCATGGGACCGAATGGTCCGGTTGGTCCCGATATCAAATGATGGGACCGAATAAATATTAGGGGCACATAACGCCACAGCAGGCAAGACCAATAACAAGTTTGTTTAAGGCCGTTCGAGACGCACGAGTTCGTAACACCTCTCCGAGACTCTAGGCTCACCTCGGCCGCAAGCTGGCGTTTGGAGCGCGGCGAGCTCGTGGCGTGGCGGAGTTGGGGCGTGGAGCGCTGGGTGACGACATACGTGCGGAGATGTGGAGGAGGTAACGAGTGCACGGCACGCAGCACCTGCCCGCTGTGGGGCAGCTTAGTTTCGTCTGCAACAAGAGGTTACTTTAGCTTGCATTGCAATGAGGATAGATTTCCGTAATGCGTTCAAGACTAGACAACAGAATACTTATTAATACAGTTTTCAGGTCGCAATACTTTCAAGACGAGGCAAGATAATCATTATAAATACAGTTTCAGGCAGGTAAAGTTTCAGTCTAGTTGAAGACGCACCTTAGATTTATATAGCTGACAGAATGACACTTTATTTCTCGGTTTCACAACAGTGAATAGAGTATCACGGTTAAGTATATAATGCAGCACAATTGCAGTATCGGCAACATAATTGATGCGCCGTACGTCATAGAGTATTCTTCACCTGTAAAATTTATTCGTGCATCTGTGTGAATTCGAATAGTAGCATAATTTTGGTAGAAGGCGGAATTGCAGAAGATAAATCACCGGACTAGCTTGCCTAAGACTCTACGATTAGTCGTGACTAACGCCATTGGAATAATAAATTTGTTCAGGACGCATGCACCGGTACCAATAAAGGATATGTTTGAGCGTCGATTGAGGACAAAAAATTGCTTGAACAAAACATATGCTATTTTTACTTGGCTTGCGGTGCTGGTCGAGGAAGGTGGCAGCGGAGGTGCCCTGGCCGTCCCCCGCGACGCCCGCGCTGTTGTTATTGGAGAGCAGCTTGAGGCAGCACGCGCGGTCAATGGGCGACTCTGATGTGCACGGCAGCACAGTCAGCTTGTTGCGGAACATCAATATAAATCTCCATATCAACCTGCACGAAAAAAAAATTAATATTATTAACTGTGAGTTAAGGTATATTGCAACATCTTTGTGCACCGTCTTAATAATGTTCATGATTAAATTTAGCTGTTATATAGCATTTGAATATAGCATTCGAATCAAATACAACGCTTTAGAATGCTTCAAAGCTTAGCTGCATAGCATAGCAATAAAAAGTTATCAAAATACCCACTTGATGAGTTGAACGGTGGCAACGACCGCCCACCTCCCGAACTCCCCCCACAGCTGCTGCGCCCCCACCTCGACCACCACCTCAACGCCCTCCAGCACACACAGCAGGAACTGAACGATGTCATCATACACAGGATAAAAAAATGCTTCGGCGTCAAATTAACAGAAGGTAGCAGTAGAACTCACGAGTTCACTTACTTTAGCAGGTAAGCTCGAGCGTTTTATGATTATGAGCGCTTGAAAATGAATGCTGTCACATTCGAAACATCGTTAATAAATTTATATTGCTTCCTTTAACCTGCATTTTGATTAAGCAACGTAATGTGAAGAATATTGTTGGACACTGAAAATTTAAATCAATGAATTCTCCGACCATTGACCACCCGTGTTTAAACAAGCTTATCTATTTATGTACGCATTTGGCTATCATGAAACGTTAAAAACTAGTAATTGGGAAGGTAAGAAATTCTAAAGATACAATGAACGAACCTGTATTTTCTTTTCTTGTTGTAGAGAAAATTTAGGAAGTTGGCAGTGCAGGAGCATGTCGTTGAACAGCTCAAAAAGACGAGATCCTGACGAGAGGAGTTCACACAGCAAGCTCGAGTGCTGGAACCGCCCTAAAAAACACGAGGATTAAATTCAATATTTTGGCGCAGCACTTTAAGCCTGGTCGCACCTCTAAGTGCAAGTTGGATCAGGAAAAGAACTGTCTTCGAGCGGCATGAAAACTTTATGGTTTGAGTCGACGCAAGAAAAATTAACCCATCTTTGAGGCTTTCAATAATTTCACTGCTCCAATACAATCGTATGGTTCTAAACGTTTGTCATTTATAAGTCTCTACGAAACTCGCGTTTGACAGCACAAGCTACATCACACTTGTGGCGTATACCTATTTTACAACCCATTCAATAGTAAAGTAATATGAAAAATTCCCTCAATGATGAGTTGAACATTGATAGTAAATTCTCTAACTTATAAGCATTTTCTCCCACCCCCGTAATTTTCTGCTGACAAGCCAAGAAATTAACTGTATAATGCACCTATGTTTTCGTCCGACTTGACATCTGTGATCACGCTAACTACTGGTATATCCGGCTCACATGGGTCAGCTCCCAACAAATGAAAATTTAGTAGTAATTAATTTACGAAGTAATAATAGTTACAGTAAGCACAAACCCAACTTGACTCTTAGCTTGTTGTTATCCGACGTCGGACGATTTTCTTATAAAATCAAAGGAACATTCAAGTAACGCCAAAGTCGATATCAATTTCTATTTTTTCATGATGTTTGCAGATGTCTTAGCTATATGTACATATTAAAATTTGCAATAACATTAAATATAAAAAGTAACATTATAATTCATAGCTTATCCGCACTGTGCCGAAATTAAAGTTCGTCTCAGATGTGTATTTATAGTGCAATTTTAGGCAGCGATAACGCATCATCCTCACATCCTATCCAATCATCCTATTAGTGAAATAAATCATTTATAACTGAGAACGTTGAAGACGTTTTGTTGCGTACAACCTACCCATATTCCTCTATCCCATGAACCTACAACCCATGCACCCCCTAACCTATGTACCCATAACACATGCCCCGTACATTGTATTAAATTTTCTGCCCCGTAACCCATATCATGCCATGCAATATGCAGGCTTCGGTGCTGCATGAGATCGCTTGCTTCGTGCCGTGAAAATCTGACATTTCAAATGTGTCGGTCGCAGTCAGACAGAATAGTTCAGATTCCTGCCTGTATTAACTCGAGCACGGGAGGCAGTGAACGCCCGTCACTTGACGTAGCAGACGTCAGACAACGACTATGAAGTTATTCCGTGTCGGTCGCAGTCAGACAGAATAGTTCAGATTCCTGCCTGTATTAACTCGAGCACGGGAGGCAGTGAACGCCCGTCACTTGACGTAGCAGACGTCGGACAACGACTATGAAGTTATTCCGCCAATTCGCTTATTGCAGCCACAACCACGTGAACTTTTCTGCCAGGCTCAGAGATGTTATGAAGACGCCCAGATGTGACGACTACGCCCAGATGTGATGACTAACACAGATTCATTTGAACCAGTAACAATATAATAATATCAATAACAATATCTGTTTATTTACTTGAACTTAAGCGTACTGCTTCCACCCTCAATCGGAAAAATACGAAAACATTAATTACTGTGTGCGAAAAAAATTCAAGTACTTATTGGATCAGATTGTAGAACCAATTGGTAGAATTAATAATACAAAATTCTTGAAACTATTAAATTGTAATACCAAAATCACGTTTTAAATCTAAAATTCATGGATTCGCACGGTTCTTACTAGATGATAAGATACGTGCAATCGTAAACACTTTAAGGTGAATTTAACGCCATTTGAATGAAATTAAATTCATTTTCAGACTTTCTGAATAACAGTGGACCAGAGATACAAAGATTGTATGGACGGTGAGCGGGCGATGCGGTAGCGGCATGCTGCACCCGCGCCTGTCGGAGCCTCATTACCGCGAATAAGGCAATATCAAAGAAAGGAAAAGGCAAAGAAGGCCATTCACATGACATTTTAACGCAGCCTAATTTTTTCACTCAGAAAATTTCCTGTGAACATTTTAACCGGCAAAACATTGATATATTGGCAAACAACAAAAGAGGTACCATCATTCGTATGCAGTATAAAAACGCAGATGAGAGCAGCAATAAATCGTATCAGTACTTGAAAATTTTAGCCAGTGAAATTGCATTGAAAATTCTTAATGCAAAGCTATGTCAGACAAAGTTTAAATAAAGTACCTAAATAAAAAATGGAGCACAATGGAATAATTTTAAATGCGAATGACAAGTATCGGTCAAAATAATGAGGTGCTGTCACTGCTATTTGAATTGAATAAATAATGCTGAGCAAATACAGAAATCATAAAAATTCATGAAGAGAATAATTGCATACTGCGATAAAAGGGATACTCACCAGCCAGAAGATAAGAGCCCCATCTGACGACAGCTTCCATGTCTGACAAGTTTTGAGGGTGTGATACAATCCATTTCTTATATTGTTCAAACAGAGCTTGCAGCTTGGCAAGTCCGCCAACTGGTTCTGAACACACACTCATTATTACATCTGATTTAGACTAAACACCTGGAATATTGGTACTTTCTCATTAATAATTTCCCATACTATGGCAGACATGTTAGTAATTCACATCTCAGGCTCACTATATAGTAACGTGCAGTTGAATTTTCTATGCATAAAGAGGTAAACTGAAGCAGCAAACAGGCCAAATCTCTTTACTGTCAGTTGCCACTATACTCCTTCCTTTTTTTACAAGATATTTTGTTTAGCACATGAATTAGCTCAATATTGTGTAAGTAACTTATAGACTAGCTCAAACCCATAAATTGTCTTCCCAGGGCAAACGACACTAGGCTTGGTTATAATGTGATGCAAGAAAAGTCATTCTTTGAATCAGTGATTGATCAAAGTCAACATTGGTAGCTTTAAGAAATTTCTTCCAATGAAATTTATCGTTTGATTTAGTACTTGAATATGCTATGTTAAATGAAGTAAAAAATTGCTGCTAGAATTGGCACACATGCGATGCCTTCAGAGGAGAAAGTGTATGTCAGGAATAGTAAGTACCTAGTGTAGTTGTAGAGGTGATTTGAAAAAACTCCTCATTGAACTTCATTCTTAATATTTTCTCATCTGCAGTAAGCAAAATGAACACTAAAATAACTTGCATCACACTTTTTCCTCTCTGTAGGTTCTTCTCAAACCAAATTGGAAGCCTGCTGGTCTAATAATAAACTCAGTGAATGAGAGGCCATTTGAATAGAATCAAAATGTTGTATGAGAAATGTTGACAACAACTGATAGCAATGAAGCAGACTACAAATAACTCACAAAAATATAACTCAGTACTCACTGCAGTGGGTGACAGAGAGCGCATTTTCTCGTCGACGAAAACGTGAAGTCACGGACGGACAGACAGACGGACGGACGGACAGACGGATGGACAGACGGACATGGCGAGCACAATGGTGCATTTTTTCATAAATGAGAAAATTAGCTAAAAAGCAATGTATTGTAAAAACTAAACAACTATCAGCAAAGATTGCCAAAACCGAAACCATAATTACAACACTAAGTATTTGATATGGACATGAGGACTACTTCAGATGATATGAACACCTCTGAACTAATGGCATTCTAAAAATGGCAGTTCATATATTTAAAATTAATCCAGGTAACTTGACCAGTTCCAAAATGCCAGCCAAGTCCCAATTGTGCTCTTTTGTTAAAATTGAAATAGAAAGAAATTCATCTTGCAGGAATCTGATGATCCTGCCCAAACTGCGCAATCTAAGTATTTTCAGTTGGTACTCTTGTGCACTGGGTGGCTGAATAGAATTTAGAATTGAGTGGACCAATTAAGTCTCCTTTTTAGCGCGTTTTCTCATTTATGGAAAAAAGCGCTATTTTGGTCGCCATGTCCGTCTGTCTGTGACTTCACGTTTTCGTTGATAAGAAAATGCGCTCTCTGTCACTCACTGCAGTGAGTACTGAGTTATATTTTTTTTAGTTTCTTGCTGCCTTGTTTTGTCTCTTTTGGGGGGATTGGAGTTATTACAAATCACCGGGTGTTGTTGAATTAGCTAGCTTACTTATCTCTAAACAAACAAAAAATCAGATCAGTACTCACTGCAGTGAGTGACAGAGTGCATTTTTTTATGAAACAAAACGTGAAAATCAATGAAAACATAAAGTCACGGACGGACGGCCATGACAAGCACAATAGCGCCTTTTTCCCATAAAATGAGAAAATGAGCCAAAAAGCAATGAGGGTAACCTCTTGACCCCCGCGCGCGTCCCTGTCCCATACGTATGGGCCACTCGCTGGAGTATCCAAATATTCACTCATTCTCCAAGAACTAGTACCGTCCTGACTGCTCCTTCTAACAATGTTTTCCGCCACCCTATTGCTGCCCTGTCTTCCCCTTGATGGTGGGGCCTGTGAGTGTGCGAGTGGGTCATGGCATCCAGCAGGAGCCCTCATTTGTGGGGCACTGGGGGGTAATTCCTAGCTGCCTCCTCTTTTGTAGGCTTCCTCCATTTGTTTCCATGATTTTAGGTAAAAAACAAACAGTTGTCATTTGTGCAATCCTCTAGTTTCACAACACTCCAGCACAGCTTAGGGTGATAGAACGTGCAGTCCCTTACTTTTTTGCACCCTCGTGGATGCCCCTTACTCCCATGCTTGCATTTCTTTTGCAGGTACCGGTACTTCCAGCAAACACCTTTCCTTGCTGGTGGCCTGCTAGAGGGTACTTTGGCAACTTGGGTGGTTGGTAGGGAAGGTAGCATTGGAAGGGATGATGGCAAACCATCTTTCAAGTTTCTATCCTTGGGGGTTTGGGCAGTGACCGAGGCGTAGGTGGTTTGAGCCTAGATCAGATGGAGGAAAGGTGGCAGGATCAGATGTTGGGGCACTGAAAGGGTTGAAGGCAAGAGTAAGGCTGGCAGTATAGGTAGGGTTAAAGTGAGTGAAAGGGTGGAGGAGGGGGTAAGGGGTGAGGCAAGGGTACAGTGTGTAGCTGCTTTACCAGCTCCTCAATTGAGAGGGTAGTTATGATATGGTAACAAAGGGATGTGCCTCTGCTGCTGCACGGTCAGCTGCCTCATTGCCCTTGATACCCTTGTGTCCAGGAATGAATTGCAAGATAAGTTCCTGGAAGGAAAGTAAAGCCATTAGTTTAGTTTGGATTTCAAATAAGAGGTGTAGGTAGCTGTCAGGACTTCTGTTACTGATTAGAAGTATGGATAATTGAGAGTCTGTGAAAATAACTAGTTTTTCTGCAGGTTAGAGATTTGTTTGGGACCAGTTGAGAGCTTCATGGATTGCAAACAACTCTAACACCTCCACTTCAGGATGCATTTTCCAGTTTAATAAGGAATGTGCAGAGCTGCTGATGTTGAAGGGGCTTCTCGAGTAGTATGCAACCCATCTGTGAAAGCAGGATGTGTCCAGATTATTTTGATTGTACAAGATCTGCATAAATTTGTTGAGCAGCCTGGGAGAGGTGGTGGGACACTTTAGAAACAGGAAAGTTGAATTGTATGTGTCTCTGAATGTTGAACCATGGGGGTATTGTGGAAATCAAAGGTGATGTGAGTAATCGAGGAACATTGATCAGTAAGGAAGAAAAAATACTTAGTGTTGGATAGAAATGAAGGCAAGTTAGATGATCTGTGGCTAGGAGCTTGTGGAGGATTATTGTGAAGTAGTTCTTCAACAATGGGGCTAATGGATAGTTGAATAATGCAGTAATAGTACTTGCTTGCCACTTCATGCTTGTATATGGTAAGAAGAGAAATGTTGGCTTCCATTTCCATTGACGATACTGGCAAGGTACCTACTGCAGCCCAGGGCTTTCAGAGGCAGTTATTTTGTATAATGTTCAGTTTGGCTAAAGTAGAGTGGGCTGCAGAAGCAAAGAAGGCGGCATCATAATTCAGCTGACTTTGGATGAGAACCCTGTATAGTATTAACAAGAGTGATTGGTTTGCTCCCCAGTGAAAGTCAAGATTTATTTATGAACTCAGTGGATACAATGGAAGATTGCCTCTCATATCAGGAGTGGATGACGACACTGGGGTTGATAGCATCCAGCAGATATTGGGTTTGCCTGCCAGCTGAAGCTTATTGCACCCACATTATCCCTACTGATAGTGATGCAGAGCAGGAGGCACATGCCAGTAATAAAACTAAGAATAAAACTCCCAAGGTCATTATTTCTAATCAGAAAGGAACTAAATACTCCTGTAATGATATTTACAAGGCAACCAAAAAGAGAACTATGTGGTTGGGAAATCTACAAGGAAGAAAAAGCCAGTGAGTTGGAGGAAGTTATTGTCTCTTCCAGTGATGGTTCAATAAGAACCTCCACCTCTTCTGATATCTCCTCTGCTTATTCTGGTAATGATGAGTCATCTGAGGATATGGATCTGTGGACATCCTCTAGATCTCACCACAATGCCAAGAAAATTGATCGGCATGAAGTTGTGGTACCTCCAGTATTTGCCATGGATGGAAGGGTGTCTCTCGAGGAATACTTGCCAACTTATGAGCAATACTTTGATAAGAAATTCAGAGGCACCACACATGCCAAATGCCAATAGCTGTCATCATTTTTGCAGGGTGATCTTCTCAATGTATATGAGATAAGAGGATGCAGAAGACTAAGCTATGAAGAGATGAAAGAACACCTTTTAAATTTCTATAAAAAACAACGCATTGGTGGGCCACGTTTCTGTAAGTAACAGTTCAAAGATTGTCTGAGAGTTATGACATCTATGGCATGCATCTCATCAGCCTTGCTGAGCTGGCAAAATCCAAGAAAGAGTGTGCTTCCCAGTTGCAATAACACTTCCTTGCTTCACTCCCAGCCTTAATCTCATCAAAAATTGCTGATGTTGAACGCACAAGCAAGATTTCATCATCCGGCAGGGCAAAACACCTTAATTTCAACAAAGTCATCCAGATGGCAACAGACTTACAGCATTCACTGCCTTAGACCAAAACTATCATGTGGAGTGACCAAGCTGTGGGACAAGTGCCTCACTCCAGCCCAGCCAAAGCTCAGCCAGGAGCAATTGGTACCAAGGAATATAAGCCATCATGACCCACTCATTCAAAGGATTCTCATCCTGAATCTGGCCTTGAAAGCCAATGTCCAGCCGATAAGGCAAAACAACCTCATGCTTTTAAGGCATCTGCCTCTCCAGGAAGAATTTATGCAACTATTGCCACAAACCAAACCATTTCCAAAAGGATTGCTGAAGGAAGAAAGGTGCATGCCTTGTATGTGGCAAACAACACAAGATTGAGTCTTGCCCCAAATATGACCCTAATTTCAAGTCTAGATCACAGTCCCGAGAACGTCATCAGTTAAACTGACGAATCTGACTGGAGAAGAGGGACCTGTGAGAAAAAGACTCAATTTTACTACCCCTGCCAGAAAACCTGTCACATTGTCCAATATAACTGCTGCTAAACCTGGTCCTCCTGCTTTAGAGCATGCTGCAGATCCCATGGTTGCAAGTGCCAAGCCAGCACCCTCATCAAACTGCAATGATGACCATTGAGCTGGATTTCCACCTTTAAAGGAACATTGCAATGCAGCAAATTCTTCACATTTAGAGTGCTTAGACAATGAACAGAATAATGTCCCCAGAAAAGTGATGGAAAAGCTAGATTTAAAAGCTTATGGCATTCCAGGAAAATTGGTGAATTTTGTACTTGCAAAGTGCGACCTCTTAGAAGTCAATGTGCTAATTTATGGTTAAAATGTGCCAGCAGTGACTGATTCAGGAGCTGTCAGTTCCTAAATGACAGTGGAATTAGCCTGAAAGCTTGGCCTACAAGTAACAGAAAATTGCAGAACCTTACAGGTTGTTGGTGGTCAATCATTTGAAACTATTGATAGTGTGAGTAGTGTGATATGTATACACATGTAACCGGAAACACTGCCGCTAAGTCGAAATAGTTACGGGTAGCATGCCGACTTGACGGTGACTTGCATATTGGTTTTAACACAAGGACTAAAGAGTCGCTCTTTGGTCCGGCTCTAAATTCACTTGCGTTCAGTTTAGTTGGTAGATTTCAAGCTGGGACTCTTTATCAGTTGCTCGTTGTATGGAAATAAAATTTACAGCAGCCATTTAAATTTTCTTTTTCTGTGAGCTTCTGCTTGACTTATGCTGTCTCTTGTGAGTAGATTGTGATTCTTCTTTTTCAGGGACAGATGCAGTCTTGTAAGACTTCAATTTGTGGTTAACATCTTTTTTGTTGCAATTATCTATGGGCAAGTCTGAACAGCTGGGCTGGGTGGGGGTGCAAGATTCTATCAAAGATTCTTCATTAGTTGTAACTGGTACTGCAGCACTGGTGTTCCCGGAGTGAAGCTCTTCCAGTAAGGCTTCAGCAACACTGCTACCAAAGTGCTTCCTTGTGGCCCTGATGGTCAGTAGTTCCTTTTCTTTCTTGTTTTCTTTTGAGGTCTGCGAGAATGATTTCTATCAAGAACTTACAAATGGATATGCTGAGTTTTTGGATCTCAATTTTGATAAGGTTGGTTAGAGTCTCCATAGAATCTCCCAATGATGGTTGTTCAGGGGTCAGGTAGGTGGGACTATGAGTCAGGTTGTGTCTCCTTGAAGGCTGAGCGACTTGGCAACATAGGTATTCTCTTCTGTTGATGTGGCTTGCACAGTAGGCATGCTGCTGTGGTAGGTGCCTGGGGATCTGTGCACATCTGCTCAAGTTGTAGCTACCTGGAAGAAAGATTCTTTCGGTGTACTTGGGATTCGCGGCAAGTTTTTTACTGCCTGGCTGATTTGGTTCACATTGGTGTTATTTTTTGAAAGAGGATTTCTGAACGTCAAGTCAGTTTGCCTCCTGGCATTTTAGGCTCATTTCAAAGCTCTTTGCAAGGGCTATCACATGGCTTCTCCAAAAAAATTCCATATGCTATTCGTAAGGTGTCAGAAGCAAAAAAAGTGTCCTGAGTAGCCCCATCGAACGGGGCTACTCGGGACACTTGGAATAAAACTTCATTTTAAAACATTTGAAGCATGCAGAGTGTACTCATCCAGTACTAACAGTACTCTAAAGTCCTCTTTCATTGTAGATGATGTAGAGGTAGAATAAATGACATTTTCTGTGATTTTTTCTTGTTTTTCGTTTACTGATAAGATATTACCATATACATTAATCACCGTATTACTGATGCGATATTACTGTATTATTGATGCGATATTACCGTATCCATGAACATGCCATTGAGCATTTACAACAACCTTGTCCACTGCAAGCTTCATATCAGCAGCCTTATAGCATTTTTTCTGTATCTGTAGGCTTACAGGATGGCTTGTAATTTCACACCATTTTAATTGGGTTGAGTGAATTTACTATAAAATAAAACAAATAAAAAAACTTTAAAAAAACACGTTTTCATAAATGGACAAAAAAGAAAAACATCAACTCTTACATAACATTACATAACATTCTACATAACTTTAACATTATGCAAGAGATAATGTTTTTCTTTTTTGTCCGTTAAAAAAACATGGGTTTTAAAAGTTTTTTATTTGTTTTATTTCACTATTTTTACTTTTGTAAAAACCAGAAAAACGTGGTTTTAAAAAATATTTTCATATATATTTATTTTCTACTTTTTAGTTAGCAATTTTAGCAATTCAAATCAATTTCCAGGTTTGGCAAGTGTGGATGTTCAAGAAAAAACTCAATTCCAAACTGTGAATTTTCAGTGTTTTTTTTTTCATTTTTTTACTTTTTCTTAAATCTTTTTTTAAATTATTATTTCTGATGATCAAATCTTGAATTGTTAGGCAGCATAAGCATGCATGCCAAATTTCGACTTACTAGGATGTTTAGAAGTGCATCAAATTAAGGTTTGAATTTTTTATGACAGACAGACACGGAACAAAACTAAGAAAAATGTGGTAAAAAAAGATTGTGAAAAACATACCTGAAACAGAAAGTAATGTTTTAGTGACAACCATCATATGTTTTGGAGAAATAAATCATAGTTTAGGTCAATTACTTTTCATTCTATGATGCCTGGTGCACAATTCTATATATGACATTCTATGCACAATTTTGTGATGACCGATGATGCACTAATTTTTCGATAAGTGAAATTTTTTGCTGAGCGAGGTAAGTGCAATCAATATTCTTTGTTTTTAATCAATTTTTTTCTTAACTGAAGCCTTTGCTAACTGAGGATCAACTGTAAATGCGTTTTTGGGGGTGTCCCGAATAGCCCCGGGGGGGTGTCCCGAGTAGCCCCGACGTGCAGAAATGGCCGCCATTTTTTTGGGGATTGAGGTATGTAAATTCCACAAATAAAGTTTTCATGCTGACACTTGTCTGCCACTTTTTTCTAAGCACAATTTTTTAAAATGGCAAATATTTTTTTCACTACAGACCTTAGCAGAAGTAACTTTTGAAAATATTGTTTTTCACCATTTTTTTCAGGAATTTTTTTAAAGCTAGTAAATGTAGGTAGTATTTTTGAACGTCCTTTACACTACATAGATAGGAAAAATGTTGACGTTTACGCCACTATATTTAGATTTGCAATATTCCAATTAGTTTTGCTACTAAAACAGTTTTACGCTGTGTCGGAGGACTGTCCCCAGTTACCCTGCCCATCCCAAGTAGCCCCGGTTGACGGTATCTTGTGATGGTGTTTCCGGAACAATATTCTCATCATCACTGCTAGGGCTTGGCATGTCAGACTCAGAGTCTGACATTATGCATATGGTTTTTTCCAATCTCAAGCAACAGCTTGGAATAGTAATGCAGAAAATTTACCTGCACTACAAAGAAAAAGAGCTTAGGAACACCAGACAAGCATGCCTTAAAATACTCAGTATTTTAAGGCGTGTATTATTATTATCAGCATATAATATTTTGTTTCAATTGTAAGGAACTGAAGCAAAGGATTCAGTCCTTAAGCAGAAAAATTTAAAATACATTGATACCAATTCATGAAGAAAACATTTTCTGGAAATAAAAAACTTAAAAAAATAAAATCCCTTAAATTTAATGACATATTCAAGTCAGGGCTAGTTTAGCATGAACAAATCTTATTCAGTTAGATCTGCCCACAAGAACGTAAAACAAATGTTGACACCAACAAATGATGAAATTCAATGAACCGAAGACATTGCAAGTTTTGCACAGTCACCAAATTACTGGAAAAGTCAATCAATTGTACAACAATACAAGAGTGTATTCTGGTATCAGAAAACCAGCAGCAAAGTTAGTAACCATCAGTCAGTAAACCTGGGGGTAACTGCAACACATTTACCCCCAGGAGCATGACTGCCACTATCACAACACTGACGGCTTCCAGCCCCTCATGAAGTCTTTAAGAAAAATGGATGCTGATATTCCAATGAACAGCATTCAAGCCCCAACAAGTGAGAGGCTTTGTTGTTCTCTTCCATACCCACGCCATTCTGAACGCCTGCCACCTTTGAGGGACATTGAACAGCTGTGCCCCTCTTCCTTCATGGCAGTGGGTGTCTTGGGTTAGGTATAGTCAAATGGGGTAAGACAGGATCGCAGCCTTCATGGGGTAAGAAAGGACCAGCCCATATCATGCATTCTAATTGCACTGAATTTAATTTGAAAGAAGAATATGTTAGAGCAATCATTGCATGTCATTTCAGTGCTTGTTTCAACCCTCTTCTGCAAATAATGAATTTCTGGCTAATTTTTAAAGAAAAGTTATGTAAAGAAGGGTCACAAAATAGTTAACCCTGTTTGGGAAATAAGCTCTGTCTAATTACAAAAATTTTTTTGGCCAAGTTTGTGGATGTATGCATGTAACCTCAAGTAATAAGCTACTTTTGAGACATACTAGGCATTCCCACCTGCAACCATCACTGCCTGGCATGCATTCCAAAATGGGGTAAAAAAGGACCGGACATGGGGTAAGACAGGACCACTAAATGATCCTGCTTTACTCCACAAGTGGTCCTATCTTACTCTATGATGCCTGGTGCACAATTCTATATATGACATTCTATGCACAATTTTGTGATGACCGATGATGCACTAATTTTTCGATAAGTGAAATTTTTTGCTGAGCGAGGTAAGTGCAATCAATATTCTTTGTTTTTAATCAATTTTTTTCTTAACTGAAGCCTTTGCTAACTGAGGATCAACTGTAAATGCGTTTTTGGGGGTGTCCCGAATAGCCCCGGGGGGGTGTCCCGAGTAGCCCCGACGTGCAGAAATGGCCGCCATTTTTTTGGGGATTGAGGTATGTAAATTCCACAAATAAAGTTTTCATGCTGACACTTGTCTGCCACTTTTTTCTAAGCACAATTTTTTAAAATGGCAAATATTTTTTTCACTACAGACCTTAGCAGAAGTAACTTTTGAAAATATTGTTTTTCACCATTTTTTTCAGGAATTTTTTTAAAGCTAGTAAATGTAGGTAGTATTTTTGAACGTCCTTTACACTACATAGATAGGAAAAATGTTGACGTTTACGCCACTATATTTAGATTTGCAATATTCCAATTAGTTTTGCTACTAAAACAGTTTTACGCTGTGTCGGAGGACTGTCCCCAGTTACCCTGCCCATCCCAAGTAGCCCCGGTTGACGGTATCTTGTGATGGTGTTTCCGGAACAATATTCTCATCATCACTGCTAGGGCTTGGCATGTCAGACTCAGAGTCTGACATTATGCATATGGTTTTTTCCAATCTCAAGCAACAGCTTGGAATAGTAATGCAGAAAATAAAGTATATGCTGGTATAAATATGACAAGTTTGTATAGCAAACAATTAAACAAAAACACAAAATGCAATTTTCCCAATAGTGATATTAAGATGGAGCAGGCTGGAATTCTAAAATTTGTGGTTCACATAAAAAAAAGCGTTCCGCCTTAAAAAAACGTTCCAGGCAACTAGAAACAGGTTTGCAGGCTGTCAGAAATCGGCTTCGGTTACGGTAGCTATGATCGTATGAACATGACGTCAAGTCAGGCAACACAAAGAAGGTTCCATCACTCCCATGCAAGATTGTTAGTTGCACACATCACTCACAGATGAGCAAGAGGGATGGATCTACAGAAGGAAATACTATTTACTCCCAACATAATAGTTTTAAATTAAATATAAAAAACATTTATGGCACCTATTCGTTACCTCAGCTTTCAAATTGAGGAGAAACTCATCGGCAGTTGGAGAAACTTCTTGAAGAAAAGGCAATGCACAACAAACAACATGACACTTCACAGTTGACTGACTAGAATAGACTCAATAGTCAATAGAGTACTTGAAAGTCAAAAATTAAGCATTCAAACCTTTAGATTCTGTGAACCTTGTGATTTCTTCATTATTAAAACTTTAGAAGGCTCACAATATATCACGTAATGTTTTCACTCAATTATCGTCTCCAAGTTCGGGAGCTTTATCTGCAGTTAATTCAGTTACCTCACACACCGATTGCTCAACAAGAACTAACAAGTAAACAGTAAACACTAACCATTGTTCCCGCCACTTTGGCTGTTGCACACGATTGATTCTGCATGTATAACATTTACAATTTACGAAGGTTATTAAACCATTCTGTTGAATGCCAGTTACTGATAAATTTGTAATATAGAAGAATTCATATCTATCATTTTTTTCAAATGAGTATATTGATGGTTGGTGTCCCTGTGGCCTGCTACCTTCTTTGTTTATGTTTTTCGTTAAGTTGGTAATCCTGATCGTAACAGTAGGAGTTTCTATATCTCAGCTTATTGGATCAGTGGTCAGTTTTGTATTTGTCATAGGCAGTTTTTCATGTATTTGTGAGCGAGTGTACATAGCAAAAATATTATTCTTTGCAATTTCCATCAATAATGACATGACTACACTATTGTACTACGCTCTTAAAATAAGAATTGTAGCATTACGCATTAAGTTAGCATCAGTGCGTCCACTGTGCAGAGAGTGGATGAATATTGCAAGATCTTTGGTGATGCTTCAGTAGCAAAATTTACACCTTCAGAAGATCTTGTTGACACATTTAGATTGAAATTCTTGCATTTAATATATTTGTCAATCTTTGGCAAACTATTAAAAAAAAAGTAAGGTTTCTGATATGTTGGATGGATCAGGATGCAGTGAAGCTTGTCCAGAAATCAGTTGCGATGAGTTCCCGCCAAAAAAATGTATTACCTATGCCAATGCAAAATATTTCAACTTCAACATTTAAATAGGGTAAACGCGGTATATTCCGACACATTAAGGATGCATCGAGAAATGAAAAACTATAAAAAAAACCGTATGCGTTACATAAGTTCTGTTGCCTTCCACACTCAGGATGATGTATGTTTTCGGTGAATTTTTCCAAGTATTTTCACTTTTTTTAAGCTATTGCCGTGCACAGTTGGCGCAATGTAATGAAAATTGATTCTCTTCGCGCACGTGTTTGCGCAATCCTGGCCATCAATTCTACGTTGCGCTGCTGCGCACGAGCAGTTTGTGGAGGAACAAACATAATACTCACATTACTCAGTACAGTATGCCTTTAATTATCTTTCAATAATATATGATTTTTCTTGATACGGAAATTTGGTGAATGAGAAATCTAGAACTTTATTTCA